CAACGCCTCACTGTTATTGGCTCGCGCGCCGTGCATTTCGTGACTTTTGTCTGACGCCCCTTATCAGACATATCAGTAGTTAGCACTTTCTGTCCCCCATCAAGTATGTTCGCGTCCCATCCCCTATATCATATCCTGAAATCAACTTCAGGTGACTGCTGGTACACGTGCTACGAATTTCGTGACAAAAACACACGCACAAAATACTTACAAGGGAAGGATGGTAGGTCGAAGTGGCCGTATAAAATGAGATGTATACCACCTGATGCGTCTCCAGACGCTGATCACAAATCTGCCTTCCAAATCTGCTAAACGACTCTCCGAACGGAGTTATGAAGCGTAATAGCTCAGTGGTGATGGTCCGGGGTGGCAGGTAAAAGCTCGTAGGATCGGTTCCTTTGCAAATTGGTTGCTTTGCTTTTGTCTCTAGAAGTGTTGCGGACAAAAGCAAAGCAACAAACTTGCAAAGGAACCGATCCTACGAGCTTTTACCTGCCACCCCGGACCATCACCACTGAGCTATTACGCTTCATAACTCCGTTCGGAGAGTCGTTTAGCAGATTTGGAAGGCAGATTTGGAATCAGCGTCTGGAGACGCATCAGGTGGTATACATCTCATTTTATACGGCCACTTCGACCTACCATCCTTCCCTTGTAAGTATGTTGTGCGTGTGTTTTGTCACGAAATTCGTAGCACGTGTACCAGCAGTCACCTGGAGTTGATTTCAGGATATGATATAGGGGGTGGGACGGGAACATATTTGGTGGGGACAGAAAGTGATAACTACTGATAAGATCTGATAAGGGGCGTTAGAACGCAAAAGTCACGAAATGCATAGCGCGCGACCCAGCAGCAGTGAGGCGTTGTCTTCCAAATATGACGCATGTTAATGGGCGTATCTCCTCGTCTTCAATATCCTATTTTTTTGCGGCCTGTCTTCAACGAGCAGTAAAAATGACGTTAAGATTCGATTTGGTTCGTTCCCTCAACAGTGCGTCGTACTCATAATTGCGGACGCTTTTCACCATCGTTTTTCTCCTGTCAGTTTATTAAATACATTAGTCATTCGGAATAGTCAAGAGTGTAGTAGAATTGGGAATCGGATAAATGTAGATGGTTAAAAGAGATGTCATCGTCGACGACATTTATTTCGCCGTTTGGCAGCTCATCCTCTTCGCAAATCCCATTCTGCAAACCATCTATGGAGTTCAGAAGATCTGAAACACGAACACAGTAAGGGTTTGCTCAATACCTGTCGCAGTGTATCTCTATGTATCAGGTTGGAAAGAAAGTTCTGCAACACTCTTTCTAAAATTTTCTTTTTTTCTGAAAAATTCATAGGTAACATTTATGACTAACAAATGGTAGAGCATTCTCGAGGCTTCAATCCACGAGGTGGATATAAGTGCTGCAGTAAGTAGTACCTCTTTAATGTATTATATACGAAGTTATTACGTTTTAAACGCGCGTTCCGTTACTAAAGTATCCACCGAATGCTGGATTGTGGTATAAACAGTAAGAGTAGTTATCCAAGAAAAATTCGAAAAACCTCAGACCACTAGTAAATCATTACTAGTCTAAGTCACTGTCTAGTACAAATGTCTCCATAACTATGGATTCGTGTCAAAGACCAACACTATCTGCAATAGCTTCGAGAGCAGGTCAACCGTCTGTTATGGAGAGACAAAGATCTCAACTATCGACGACGAGAGTAATGCAGGAGAGTGAACGTCGTCACCGGCGACATCAGCAACGCTCGCGGAGGCGAGAGTTGAAATGCCGGCGCCGGAGGAGCGGTCAACGTCGTCCAACGCTTTCGTCTCGCAATATGCTCCATACGTAGCGGTTTTGACCCTGTTCAATAGGCATGTCGTTCACCGCTACGACGTGTTTCACCTTTACCAGCGCTTCCGATCTTTTGATATTTTTATAAGAAGCCAGCAGCATCCCTCACACTCCATTACAGGTAGGGCTCTTACAGAAGCTCCACTACATACCCTTCGTTATGGGCACCATTGTGTAGGCAGTGGCCTAGGTTGTGGAGTACCAGAAGCTGGCCGAGGTAGCTCGTCAAGAGCCCTCGTACCGCGACAATATTCATTTCTTTCATGACATCACCCGGTAAGAAATTCTGGGGTTGCGACATAATATCTTACCTACCTCTCTTATCGTATTCTGCTGTCGAGCTGTAAATGACTGCCACCTATCCTCGACCTTGAATCATCATCTTGATGACGAAATAATTAGACGATCAACTCCAACTCGAAAGTGAGGTCGCCTCCTTTCTCGACCCGCACTCCGCTGGGTTTTGGCAAAGGAGCATCAAGAAATTTTTTGAGCGTTTGAAGACAGTGAGCGGTGGACACTACGGTAGATATATGACCAGTCAGGAATGGTAAACAACAAAGATAAAATTGAAATCAAAAATGGG